CCTTTTAAAACCCTTTGAAACGCTGAATTATTTTTCACTTTTCCAGCATGGGGCATATAGGATAAACATTGGCCCTTGGGGTCTGGGGATCCTGGTTGTAGTCGTAGTTTCACCCTTAACCAGCTGTGATCCTGAACTGGACTCTCAGCGTTTCCCGAGGCCTCTGCTTCCTCATCTGTAAATTAGGAGAGTTGGACAGCACCATAGGGATCTTCCCGACTCCAGCATCTGGGGACCATAAACTCAGTCCTCTCCCTGTGTTGTAGTAGGGTGGTGAAGACAGAGGCCACATAGGATTGCTTGCCCTAAAGTTGTTCTGAAACTCTGGGATTTCACCTCTTATATTTCTGCCTGTTTTTTGGAAGTGTTTTCCCTGCTCATTTTCCCCCATCAGACAATGTCATTTATTGTAGCTGCCAACATAAAATGACAGCTGTCTCCACATGTCAGCTGCTCTCATCATCTGGTTTGCCATGTGCTTTGGAAGGCAGGTGACCAAGCGTGTGTGAACTAGGAACAAGAGTATATGAACCCGGCGCAGAGAAGAGAGCTGAGTATGTTTCCCGTAGAGTAGCAGACATGAACTTAAGGTATGTGGCCACTTAGGCATTTTTCTTTTTTCTTTCTTCCTTTCTTTCTTTTCTTTTTCCTTTTTCTTTTTGTTTGAGATGGTCCCACTCTGTCACCAGGTTGGAGTGAAGTGGTGCAGTCATGACTTACTATAGCCTTGACCTCCCCGGCTCAAGGAATCCTCTCACCTCAGCCTCCTGGGTAGCTGGGACTACAGATGCACTCCGACATGCCTGGCTAATTTCTTTTCTTCTTTTTTTTTTTTTGAGTTGGAGTCTTATTTTTGTCGCCCAAGCTAAAGTGCAGTGGCATGATCTTGGCTCACTGCAACCTCTGCCTCCCAGGTTCAAGCAATTATCCTGCCTCAGCCTTCTGAGTAGTTGGGATTATAGGCATGAGTTACCACGCCAGGCTAATTTTTCTATTTTTAGTAGAGAAAGGGTTTCGCCATGTTGGCCAGGCTGGTCTTGAACTCCTGACCTCAGGTGATCTGCCCTCCCAAAGTGCTGGGATTACAGGCATGAATCATTGCTCCCGGCCAAGCCTGGCTAATTTTTTCTATTTTTTGTAGAGACAGGGTCTCACTATGTTGCCTAGGCTGACCTCAACTCCTAGGCTCAAGTGATCCTCCTGTTTCAGCCCTCCAGAGTGCTGGGATTATAGGTGTAAGCCACTGTACCGGGCTGGTATTTTTCATTTGGAGGCGTATAACTGCATTCCAGAATTTTAACTCTGCTGGAAAGCTAACACAATGCCCCAACACAAAACTGTCTTGTATAGTAGTTAGTGTCTTTGAGGTTCCATCACAGACAAATGACAGAAGAAAGAAAAACTGTTTAGGAAGATCTAAATTGTACATTGTGTAATAAAGGCATTCCCATCTGACAAGTCCCTGGTAACTAATACTTTTCTTTATAAGATGACATTGAGGCTTTTTCACCCTTAGTTAGGGGATCAAGTTCCAGGAGAAGAAGTTAAGCAGGTGGGCCTGGCGAGGTGGCTCACACCTATAATCTCAGCACTTTGGGAAGCCAAGGTGGGTGGATCAAGAGGTCAGGAGTTCAAGACCAGCCTTGCCAACATGGTGAAGCCCCATCTCTACTAAGCATACAAAAATTAGCAAGGCACGGTGGCAGGAGCCTGTAATCCCAGCTACTTGGGAGGCTGAGGAAGGAGAATTGCTTGAATCAGGGTGGCAGAGGTTGCAGTTAGCCAAGATTGAGCCACTGTACTCCAGCCTGGGCGACAGAGTGAGACTACATCTCAAAAAAAAAAAAAAAAAAAAAAAAAAGAAGTTAAACAGGTGGTTCCTTAAGTAAGTAGTCTTTTGACTACTTAGGAATTGATTTTGTTTTCCTGTAATGAAAATGAATTACTTGACTTTATCAATCTCTGAAAAATAAGGTAAAATATACTCAGCCTCCGAGGGGATACAAACATAATATACGGAAGACAAAATAGAGACTCTGAAGATTTTAAACAGAACATCTTGAGACTTGAGAAACTGAAGGCAGTAAAAACCAGACTGCTTTTATGCACTTTTTTTTCCCCAGTAGGAAAAAGCAAGGTAGATAATCCTAATGGTTGGATTTCAATTAATTGGTGAATAGAAGGTGAAATGATCAAGAAACAAATATTGTAATTATAGGAGAAAACAGCAGGAGCTTTTTGTTTTAAAGGAAATGAAGAATAGAATTCACAGTGAATAGAGGCAAGAAAATCTGATAATTCTACTCACTTGAGTGCTGCAAGGATGCTGATCAGGGAAAACTGCTGTGACTACACATGGGTCCTGGAAAGGCTTCTCCCTGGAACCACCTAAGTGAAATAAAGACTCATTTCTGACTGTTTCAGGATGGCTACGCAGATCCTTAGGATAATAACCAGCATTCTTTTGGACAACTCTAATCAAGAGTTGGGCCTCCTTGAGGACACAGAGTTGGTCTCGAGCTCGTGTAAGGCACGATACCAAGGAACAATGAGCCATCATGAAATCGTCATTGTTTCATACTTGGTTTCTGTGTAATAGGTTTTACAAATCATTTTCTCTGACCTTTCTTTCCTTTTGGGTATGACTGTGGTGACTCGAGGAGACGAGCTAAAGGGACCTCCTGGATCTCACAGCGAAACTCCCTCCAGTATCACGCTAATTTGTTCCTCAGTGCAGATGAAATTCTTACACTGTCTTACCTGGATGTGAGGTTTTGGGATGACTTAACTGCAGTCAGAGCTGTTCTCTGCACTATGGCTGGTCCATCATTGTGGGATGACATCATTGTGGAATGTCATCAATCCCACAGTTCTGACCTCCTGACTCAAGAGAGGTCACCATGGAGACACCAGGCTGCTATTGTGACCCACAGCAGGTCAGCTGGCTCCTGCCCCTGGGCGTTTCTACAGCCCATCCTGCCAGCTTCATGGGCCCACACTGCACAGGCATTTAGATGTTGCAGGCTAGCCCAAGCTCCCAAAGGTGTTGCAAGGAAAGGGAGCTATGGGCCTTTGAGAATTCGAAGCTCATGTTGCTGGGGGCCAGCCACTCTGATTGGGTACAAATGTGTCATCAAATTCAGTTTTGAAACTATCTGAGTAGGTTCTTTGCCTACAGATTTTGATATTCTATTCACTACTCAATACTGAAAAGAGAAATTGCTCTGTCAAATAGGCAAAGATAAATTTGTATGGAAACAACAGGAAATTCCATATTACATAAATCTGTATCAACTGGGTTTGTAATTATTTTTTTCTTCTATTTTAATTGACACCTAATTATTGTAAATATTGACTGTAGGGGGTGGCTCATGCCTGTAATCCCGGCACTTTGGGAGGCCGAGGTGGGAGGATCATTTGAGCTCAGGAGTTCAAGACCAGCCTGGACAACATGGCAAGACCTCACCTCTATGAAAAATGCAAAAATTAAATGGATGTGGTGGTGCACACCTGTAGTTCCAGCTACTTGGGAGGCTGAGGTGGGAGGATCATCTGAGCCTAGGGAGGTTGAGGCTGCAGTGAGCTGTGATTGCACCACTCCAGCCTGGGCAACAGAGACCAAATATAAATAAAATAAAAAATTGTAGATATTTATGGGATGTAATTATATTATATGACAGATTAACATCAATTTTGGCCAGGCGTGGTGGCTCACACCTGTAATCCGAGCACTTTGGGAGGCCGAGGTGGGTGGATCATGAAGTCAGGAGTTCGAGACCAGCCTGACCAACATGGTGAAACCCCATCTCTAATAAAAATACAAAAATTAGCTGGGTGTGGTGGTGGGCACTTCTAATCCCAGCTACTTTGGAGGCTGAGGCAGGAGAATTGCTTAAATTTGGGAGGTGGAGGTTGAGTGAGTCGAGATCCTGTCACTGCACTCTAACCTGGGAGACAGAGTAAGACTCCATCTCAAAAAAACAAAACAAAAGATCAATTTTGCCTTGTATTCTCCTGGTTCTCGATGCCCTAGCTTTGCTCTATTTAGCATTATTATTCTTATTTTTTTTGAGATGGATTCTCACTCTGTCGCCCAGGCTGGAGTGTAGTATTGTGATCTCTGCTCACTGTAACCTCCACCTCCTGGGTTCAAGAGATTCTCCTGCCTCAGCCTCCCAAGTAGCTGGGATTACAGGTATGCACCACCATGCCTCGCTAATTTTTTGTGTTTTAGTAGGATGGAATTTTGCCATGTTGGCCAAGCTGCTCTTGAACTCCTGACCTCAAGCAATCTATCTGCCTCAGCCTCCCAAAGTGCTGGGATTATAGGCATGAGCCACTGCACCTGGCATAGCATTTTGTTGTTGTTTTTTATTAATTCAGAGCATTAGTTAAAGCCAAACTCCACATTTTTGGTTCTTAAATTGTTTCATAAGACATGTGGACTCCTTTCTGTAGGGCACATCACCCCGCAGAGCCTATCAGTTCTTCAGCGCTGTTCCTCCCTTGCTTCTTCATGCTCATTCTATGACACTTTTTTTTTTTTTTAAGACAGGGGTCTCATTATGTTGCCCAGGCTGGTCTCGAACTCCTGGGCTGAATAGATCCTCCTGCTTCAGCCTCCCAAGTGGCCAGGACTGCTCCTTCCAACATGTTGGCTTGTGGCCAGGTGTCTTCACGTCATTTTGCTCAAGGGTCTTACCAAGAGTCTGATATCCGAATTTATGTAGATTCAGAATCAGTGATTGAATGGTTACAGGGTGACTGCAAAATGTATGAGGAACATTTTATTTAGTTATGTATTTACTAGTTTTTTTAGAGACAGTCTCGCACTGTCACCCACACTGGAGTCCAGTGGTGTGATCATGACTCACTGCACCCTTGAACGCTTAGAGACATGCACCACCATACCTGGCTAATGTTCTAAAAAATTTTTTGTAGACATTGCAGGGTGGGGTGGGGCAGCATTGGGGAGGGTCTTACTATGTTGCCCAGGCTGGTCTTGAACTCTTGGCCTCAAGTGAGCTGCGAGCACCTTGGCCTCCTAAACTCCTGGGATTATAGGGGTGAGCCACTGTGCCCATCTTGAAGAACATTTTAAAATAACAAATCCTAGAAGTTTCTCTAGCCCCTGTGATATTGACCAGTTGCTTGGTATATTAGTCTGTTTTCTTGCTGCTGATAAAGACATACCAGTGGCTGGGCACAGTGGCTCATGCATGTAATGCCAGCACTTTGGGAGACTGAGGTGGGTGGATCACCCGAGGTCAGGAGTTCTAGACCAGCCTGGCCAATATGGCAAAAGCCCATCTCTACTTAAAATACAAAAATTAGCTAGGCATGGTGGAACGTGCCTGTAATCCTAGCTACTTGGGAGGCTGAGGTAGGAGAATCACTTGAACCTGGGAGGCAGAGGTTGCAGTGAGCCAAGATTGTGCCATTGCACTCCAGCCTGGGTCACAGAGTGAGACTCCATCTCAAAACAAACAAAAAAAAAGAGGAGAAAGGAAGAAATATGTTTTTCCTTAATTCTTACTCGATGAGCTCATATCGTGTTCACGTGATTAGCTGTGGTGCCTTCAGCTGCCCCTGAAGTAGAACATTTTACTCTAACTCTCAACCTTAACACCACATCAACTTACATACAAACAGGTACATACTTATTTCCTTTCTAACATCATTAGTCTTAGTTTTTGGAATGCCGAGACTGCAGGCTTTAAAAATATAACTTAGGGTTAGGCATGGTGACTCATGCCAGCACTTTGGGATGCCAAGGTGGGAGAATTGCCTAAGTCCAGGAGTTTGAGACCAGCCTGGGCAACATAGCAAGATCCTGCCTCTACCAAGCATGGTGGCACACACCTGTAGTTTCAGCTGCTCGGGAGGCTGAGGTAGGAGGATCGCTTGAGCTTGCAGTGAGCCATGGTTACCCCACTACATTCTAGCCTGGACAGTGGAGAGGAACCATGTGTTGAAAAAAAAAGAAAAAAGAAAGAAAGAAAAAGAAAAGAAAGAAAAAAACAGCACTTAAAAATATTTTTAACTGGGCATGGTGCCTCATGCCTGTAGTCCCTTCACATTGGAAGGCCAAGGTGGGTGGATCACTTAAGGCCAGGAGTTTGAGACCAGCCTACTCAACATGGCAAAACCCTGTTTGTTATTTTTTGTTTTTGTTTTTGGTTTTAAGGTAGAGTTTTGCTCTTGTTACCCAGGCTGGAGTGCGATGGCGCGATCTTGGCTCACCGCAACCTCCGCCTCCTTGATTCAAGTGATTCTTCTGTCTCAGCCTCCCGAGTATCTAGGACTACAAGTGCCTGCCACCACACCTAGCTAATTTTTTGTATTTTTTGGAGAGATTGGGTTTCACCATGTTGGCCAGGCTGGTCTTGAACTCCTGACCTCAGGTGATCCATCTGCCTCAGCCTCCCAAAATGCTGGGACTACAAGCATGAGCCACTGTGCCTGGGCAAAACCCCATTTCTACTAAAAATACAAAAATTAGCCTGGCATGGTGGTGTGTGCCTGTAATCCCAGCTACTCAGGAGGCTGAGGCAGGAAACTCACTTAAACCCGGGAGGTGGAGTTTGCAGCAAGCCAAGATTGTGCCACTGCACTCCAGCCTAGGCTACAGGGAGAGCCAAGATTGTGCCACTGCACTCCAGCCTAGGCAGAGAGATACCCTGTCTCCAAAAACAAAAATGTTTATGTATATTTTGAAAGTGTTCACACATAAATGGAGCAACTCATTTAGAAGAAAGGGAAAGGGCTGGAAGCCAAGCACTGGCGTTTCCACCAAGGCTGAGCATTCTTATATGGAGACCCTGCCGAACTGCCTTTCTTGGGCTGCATATTTTCATGCTACCCAAGGAAGCATGAAAGGAATCATGTGTTGAAAAAAAAAAGAAAAAAGAAAGAAAGAAAAAGAAAAGAAAGAAAAAAACAGCACTTAAAAATATTTTTAACATCATACGTTTGGTGAAACAACTCAGCTACACCCTTTCAGTGGGGGTTGAAGATGAATCAGCCTGTGATGTTGTAATTCAGACAAAATCGAGTTTTTTTCCCCCCCAGGCAGTCATTCTAAAATGCCCAAGGAAATGAAGCCCCTTAGCCCCCTGGCTCCGATCTGTGCCAGGTTTTGCACCAATACGGAGAGCCCATTCTGCAGGACTTGCCCCTCAAGCTAAGGATCTTCCTGAAACGCATCTCCGCAGACCCTCAACTCAAAAAACTCACCTCTGCGGAAGACAGAACATTGTGTAGCATTTTGTCTTCAGCTTTTATTCTATAAAAATCAAACTTCAGATATGAACATTCTTTTAAACTATAGATTCATTGAACTACAAAGGACCAGAAGAACTCTGATTGATCCAATTAGGACTTATCCAGAGAATAAGAATCTAATCTGCACTTAACCTTTTAAAAAGAAATTTTTCACGGGCAAAGGGATCTGAATAGGCATTTCTCCAAAGAGAATATAAAATACCAAATAAGCCCATGCAAAGATACTCATGCTTGGGAGGCTGAGGCAGGAGAATTGCTTGAACCCAGGAGGTGGAGGTTGGAGGATGCAGTGGGCTGAGATCGTGCCACTGCACTCCAGCCCGGGTGACAGAGCAAGACTCTGTCTCAGGAAAAAAAAAAAAGATGCCAAACATTAGTCATCAGAGAAATGCAAATCAAAACCACAATGAGATACCACTTCATACCAACGAAAATGGCTGTAATCAAAAAGTCATAATAATCATGTTGGTGGGAATGAGGAGAAATTGGAATCCTCTTAAGCTGCTGGTGGGAAGTGAAGTAGTGTAGCTGATTTGGAAACCGGTCTGGCAGTTCCTTGAAAAGTTAAACAGATTTCCATTTACCCAGCAAGTCCACTCTTTGGTATATACCCAGGAGAGTATATACCAACTACTTGGGAGGCTGAGGTGAGAGGATCACTTGAGTGTGGGAGGTCAAGGTCGCAGTGAGCTATGATTGCACCACTACACTCCAGCATGGGCAACAGAGTGAGACCCTGTTTCTAAAAAAAATTTTAAAAAGTACAAATAACCCAAATGCCCATCAACTGAGGAATGGATAAATAAAATATGGTACATGCATCCATTAGAATATTATTTAGATATAAAAAGAAATATGAAATGCTGATACATGCTACAACATTGGATAAACGGTTTTATTTTTAAAAATTTATTCTTTTTTGAGATGGAGTCTAACTGTCACCCAGGCTGGAGTACAGTTCTGTGATCTCTGCTCACTGCATCCTCCGCTTCCTGGGTTCAAGTGATTCTCCTGCCTCAGCCTCCTGAGTAGGTGGGATTACAGGTGCCTGCCACCATGCCTGGCTAATTTTTGTATTTCTAGTAGAGACTGGGTTTCACCGTATTAGTCAGGCTGGTCTCGATCTCCTGATCTCAGGTCAGGGGGCAATCCGCCCACCTTGGCCTCCCAAAATGCAGAGATTACGGGCATAAGCCACTGTGCCTGGCCTTGGATGAATTTTAAAAACAGTACACTAAGGGAAAGAAGGCAGACACAAAAGATTACATACCATATGATTTAATTTATATGAACTAGAATAGGCAAATCTATAGAGACAAATTTGATTAATGGTTGCTTAGGGCTAGTGTAGCTGGGGATGGGGCAGAAGAATCATAGCTAAAGGGTTTTTTTTTTAATTGATAAAAGTGTTCTCACGTGAATTATATCTATGGTTGCACAGCTATGAATATACTATAAACTATGAAGTGTGCTTTAAGTGAGTGAGTTGTAAGATTTGTGAATTATATCTCAAGAAGAAAGAAAGAATGAAAAAGAAATTCCTCCAGGTTTCTTTCTGCCTGCCAGAAAATTATTTCTATTTCTTTTTCTTTCTTTCTTTTTTTTTTGAGACAGGATCTTGCTCTGTGACCCAGGCTGGAGTGGAGTGGTGTGAGCATGACTCACTGCAGTCTTGACTCTCGGGCTTGGAGTGGTCCTCCTACCTCAGCCTCCCAAGTAGCTGAGACTGCAGGTGTGAGCCACCCATGTCCGGGTAAGTTTACATTTTTTTGTAGAGACAGGGTCTCCCTATGTTGCCCAAGTAGTCTTGAACTCCTGGACTCAAGTAATACAGCTTGGCCTCCCAAAGTGTTGGGATTACAGGCATGAGCCACTGTGCTGGCCAGAAAATTCTTTCCCATATTTAGTCTATTTCTTTTTGCTCACTCTAATCAACAACTTGTTTTGTTTTGGGTAGAGACAGAGAAGAGTAAAAAAATTCCTTGTCTTGAATCATAAATCTTTTAATACTAAAGGCCATTATCGAATTAGCCATTTGGAGGAAACGATTTCAGTGCTTTGAACCTTGTCTTATAGGATCAATTTTTAGGCCGTTGTTTGCCTTTCTACCTCTCTTAGAGCTTCTTAACCATTCTGGGCCTCAGATTCTTCACCTAGAAAATGAGACTGGTGGACTAGATCTCAAAGACCCCTTCCAGGTCTGAGTTCTGTGATGAATGTCGGCATCCTTTGAGAAAGCATGAACATTTAAAAATGAGGACACTCTTCTGAACCATGGAAGGCAAAACTGTAATCAGCTATGAAAAGAAGCTGGAAACAGACTGAGGTAGGCAAGTTTTAAAATCAGTGAACACAGCCTGAAGTGGGCACAGCAAAGGCCTAAGGGTCAGGAAACTTGACCTCTGCTTTTATGACTCAGGGTAAGACTTGAGAGAAGTCACATGACCTCTTGAGTACATTTTCTTTTATATAAAATGGGCATCATATAACCTGCCTACCTCTCTCTAAGCAATGTTCTCACTGAATGATTAAACAAGTAAATATTGTTGTAATGCACAGGTTATAACAATATTTTATATATGATTCACAAGTATTGTCATTGAAATAATTCTTTCCTTGAAATAAAGTTTATGATACCTTTATTTTTTTTTGAGTCATTTCATTTTAGTCTTATCATCTCCTCTTAAAGCTTAATGAATACAGTGGTTCGTGCCTGTAATCCCAGCACTTTTGAAGGTTGAGGTGGGCAAATCAGTTGAGGCCAGGAGTTCGAGACCAGCCTGGCCAACATGGCGAAACCCTGTAATCCCGGCTACCCAGGTGGCTGAGGCACAAGAATTGCTTGAGCCTGGGAGGCAGAGGTCACGGTGAGCCAAGATCACGTCACTGCACTTCAGCCTGGGTGACGGAGCAAGACTGTCTCAAAAACAAAACAAAAAACTTAATGAATATGGTGTAGTAAAATGTAAAGAAATATAAAATAAAAGCTTAATGAAACCACAGTTAATGTGAACAAAGCTTACAAGAACATTAAAAATTAATAGAAAGTATTTTTCTTCCAAATTTGGCTTTGTAAAAGCCTATATGAACTATAAAATTTGTTAAGCAGGGCCGGGTACAGTGGCTCATGCCTGTAACCCCAGCACTTTGGGAGGCTGAGGTGGGCGGATCGTGAGGTCAAGAGATTGAGACCATCCTGGCCAACATGGTGAAAACCCGTCTCTCCTAAAAAAAAAAAAAAAAAAACCAAAAAAATTAGCTGGGCGAGGTGGTGCACACCTATAGTCCCAGCTACTCAGGAGGCTGAGGCAGGAGAATTGCTTGAACCCAGGAGGTGGAGGTTGCAGTGAGCTGAGGTCATGCCACTGCACTCCAGCCTGGTGACGGAGTGAGACTCTGTCTCAAAAAAAAAAAGTTGTTAAGCAGGCTGGGTGTGGTGGCTCACGCCTATAATCCTACCACTTTGGGAGGCTGAGGCAGGCAGATCATCTGAGATCAGGACTTCCAGACCAGCCTGGCCAATATGGTGAAATCCCATCTCTACTAAAAATAAAAAAATTAGCCAGGTTTGGTGACACATGTCTGTAATCCCAGCTACTCAGGAGGCTGAGGCAGGAGAATTGCTTGAAACTGGGAGGCGGAGGTTGCAGTGAGCTGAGATTGGATCACTACACTCCAGCCTCCTTCTAGGGGATAAGAGCAAAACTCCTTCTCAAAAAAAAAAAAAAAAAAAAATTGTTCAGCATTTTTCTAGTTGACACTTCTTCCACATCTATATTATTTTCCTTATTAAGGTGTCTTATGTTTCTGATTAGAACCAGAGGTCAAGCAACATGAAAAATCTCTCCGTTGTTAAACCTTCCTGCCTGTAACAATGCCAGGTACCTGGTATTTATTAAATACTGATATTTATTGCCTGGTAATGGAAGACGTTAAACTGTTCAACGTAAATAGGACATTAAAAATTTGCAGTCCAGATAGAAGTTTTTGTGGGTCCAGTGATTTCTGAAAACTGTAAAGCCAATTTGAAGCATGTTAGGCAGTGACAAATATCTCATGGTATTCACGAGGTCAATGACATAATAATGAGAGTTAGGAAACTGAACGATAGTCACAAAAGTTGACACACTTCAAGGAGAGATGGTCTCACAAGCAGGGAGACTGTATGATTTTCCAGTGGCACCACCTTTGCTTAAAAGAGCATGGAAATTCCCGTTTCTAATTTTGTCCAGAGTCAGATTACCATCCTTCAGGAAAACCACCCTCATTTTTTATAGCCACACAATGTGGTTAATGATGTTTACTTTCTCTCTCTTGTAAGCTATTGACTTATCCAATAGGATGCATTGTATAGGTAACAATGGGATTATGCCAATTACTATGTAACTGGAGTTAGAGATAGGCCTGCCTAAAATCAACAACAAACATCCATAGAGCTGAGATTGCCATTGTCCCAGATACTTTCAAGTGTGTTATTCCATCCTTAAAAAAAAAAAAAAAAAAAAGGGTGACATCCTGTTACCCTTTGTGACAGGTGGTACTTTTCCTCAGGAATACGGGACATTCAGGGATATCCACACATATTCTGGGCCATGGGAGAGTCCAGATGGGCTGTGCAGTCTGAAGCTGCTGACAGCTGTCACTCTTGCTGGGGGACCACCTGGCACACCGCTTGCTGCTACTGGGATGTGCCCTCAGGGCGCAGCAAACCACTGCAGTTTGTTAGCACAGCAACAAGCAGTGCTCACTAAAGGCCATGAAGTTGTTGACTTTGGCCAAGTTCCAAGCTTGCTTTCTGGGGCCAAGACTAAGGGTGTTCACCTTGACAGGGCCCAGGCCATCCTCCTGAGGTCACTTTCTGCTCCTCTAGGAGTGGAGGGCCCACCTTCTTTCCTTCTCAACTTCTCAACTCCTCCCCATTTTCTCTTCCTCCCCAGCATGCTGTAACTTCCTCCCAAACTCTTTTTTTTTCCTGAGACAGAGTTTCGCTTTGTTGCCCAGGCTGGAGTGCAGTGGCATGATCTTGGCTCACTGCAACCTCCGCCTCTTAGGTTCAAGCAATTCTTGTGCCTCGGCCTCCTGGGTAGCCGGGATTACAGGCGCCTACCACCATGTCTGGCTGTTTTTTTTTGTATTTTTGTAGAGACAGAGTTTCACCATGTTGCCCAGGCTGGTTTTGAACTCCTGAGCTCAGGCAAACTGCATGTCTCGGCCTCCCAAAGTGTTAGGATTACAGGTGTGAGCCACTGCGTCTGGCCCCAAGCTCTTGTTTAAGGATGAATCTTATGGACTGCCTCTTTAGTGCCTTGCTTTTTGACTCTTTAAAAACAAACAAAACAAACACCAAAATGCCAAACTCAGGTTTTGGCTTTAAAATGATTGTTTGATGTTGAGGTCAATTGGAAAAATTTGAATGTAAAAATGTAGAGATCATGTATATAACAAGGGAGATTATCCAACATGTACAGCGGAAGGCTCATTTCAGATCCACAAGTTCGCCATGCAGTGTCACAGTAAGGGCGGTGGAAATGAAAACATTTTATTCGTTTATTTTGCACATTGCCTATTTTTTTCTAACTTTTAAAATACACATATTCCTTCTTTCTGTATTAATAAAAGGTTACCTTAAATGACTATACTATTACAGTTTGTATTGTAATAAAATATACATGACAAAATTTACCATCTTATCAAAAAACAATTTTTTTGTTTTTGAGATGGAGCCCAGGCTGGAGTGCGGTAGTGCAATCTTGGCTTACTGCAACCTCTGCCTCCCAGGTTCAAGCGATTCTCATACCTCAGCCTCCCATCCCCAGCAGCTGAGATTACAGGTGTGAGCCGCCATGCCTGGCTAATTTTTTGTATTTTTAGTAGAGACGGGGTTTCACCATGTTGGCCAGCATGGTCTCAATCTCCCGACATGGTGATCCACCCATCTTGGCCTCCCAAAGTGCCGGGATTACAGCCGTGAGCCACTGTACCTGGCCAAGAATTTCTTTCCTTTTTAAAGCTAAATAATATTCCACTGGATGGATATAGTACATTTTGTTTATTCATTCATCCCTTGGTGGGTACTTGGGTTGCAGACACATTTTGACTATTGTGGACAGTGCTGCTATGATCATGGGTGTAATTAATATAAATAATTTATTTAGGAGATAAAAATGAACAGTGTTTAGCCTTTGGTCATATTCCTATTCCTGATTTTCTTTTTAGCTAAGCCTTGGACTGAAGAAAGGAAGAGCCATGCCTGCTGAATTGGGAAAGAGCAGGGAATGAAGGGAAAGGAGTCACAGACTAAGGGTTAGTGATCAGAATACACAAGAATTCTTACAAATTTGTAAGGAAAAGATGCACCACTCAATAGAAAATGGTCAAAAACCTGAACTGACATTTCATAACAGACATGATCCAAAATGAAACAATGCTCAACCAAAAAGTAGTCAGAGAAATGCAAATTCAAGCTACAAGACACAATTATGCACCCACCAGAATGGCCAAATCTGCCTTTCGAAGCTCAACAAAGCAACAAGAACTTACCTATACCACCAATAAAAGTGAAAAATGGTACAAACCTTTGGGAAATAATTTATTGTTCCCTTGTAAAGTTGAAAATAAACATACCCCAGCAGCCCGCAGCTTATTTCCTGGGTCTATTCTCTGGAAATCTGCATGCACAGATGCACCAGGATGCAATAATGCTCATGATAGCATCACTCATCATAGCCCCAAACCAGAAACAACCCAAAAAGTCATCTGCCAGACAATGGATGCATACATTGTGGTGTATTCATCTGATGGAATGCAGGATTACAGCTACATGCGCCCTGGATGAAACTCACAAATATGATGTTTAGTGAAAAAGTTTAGTGAAAAAAGGCAGAGTCAAAAGATCTCATATGATTGCTTCCATCTGTATAAAGTTTAAATTAGGCAAAAAATAATTTATTTTTAGGAAAGCATGTGTAGGTGGTGCTATGCTTTAGATGTGGTTTGTTTGGCTCTGCCAAGTCTCTTGTTGAAATTGAATCCCCAGTGTTGAAGGTGGGGTCTCGTGGGAGGTGTTTGGATCCTGGGAGGCGGATCCCTCATGAATGGCTTGGTGCCATTGTCTTGGGAGTGAGCGGGTTCTCACTCTCAGTTCCCGAGAGAACTGGTTGTTGAAAAAAGCCTGGCACCTTCTTGCTCGCTCTGTTTCACCTTCTCTCTCAACATGTGATCTGCACACGCTGGCTCCCCTTCCCCTTCCTCCATCAGCAGAGGCAGCTTGAGGTCCCCACCAGACACGGAAGCTGGTGCCATGCTTCTTGTACAGCCGGCAGAACCATGAGCCAAATATCTTTTCTATTTATTTGTTTGTTTGTTTATTGAGAAGGAGTCTCCCTCTGTCTCCCAGGCTGGAGTGCAGTGGCACAATCCTGGCTCACTGCAGCCTCTGCTTCCCAGGTTCAAGCGATTCTCCTGCCTCAGCCTCCTGAGTAGCTGGGATTACAGGCACGCACCACCATGCCAGCTAATTTTTGTATTTTTAGTAGAGATGGGGTTTCTCCATGTTGGTCAGTCTGGTCTTGAACTTCTGATCTCATGATCCTTCCCTCTGGGCCTCCCAAAGTGCTGGGATTACAGGCGTGAACCACCGCACCAGGCCTATATCTTTTCTTTATAAATCACCCAGCCTCAGGTATTCCTTGGTAGCAACATAAACAGACTAAGACAGGTGGTCAGTGTGTAATAGGAAGCAAGATGTCAATGGGAAGGAGGTGGTTATGAGTGGAGGGGAATGTGTGGGACAGAGACGCTGTCTTATCTTCTGACTCAGGTGGTGGCTACTTTAGAATTAAAAATGGGCTGGGCGCAGTGGCTCACGCCTGTAATCCCAGCACTTTGGGAGGCTGAGGCAGGTGAATTGCCTGAGCTCAGGAGTTCGAGACCAGCCTGGGCAACATGGTGAAACCCTGTCTCTACTAAAAATAGAAAAAATTAGCTGGGCGAGGTGGCGTGCACCTGTAGTCTCAGTTACCTGGAAGGCTGAGGCAGGAGAATCGCTTGAACCCGTGAGGGAGAGGTTGCAGAGAGCCAGGGTCGCACCACTGCACTCCAGCCTGGACAACAGAGTGACTCTGGTTTAAAACAAAACAAAACAGACAAACAAAATAACAAAATAATTATAAATTCACAGGAAGGACTGGGCACAATGGCTCATGCCTGTAATGCCAGCACTTTGGGAGGCCGAGGTGGGCGAATCATGAGGTCAGGAGTTCAAAACCAGCCTGGCCAACATGGGGAAACCCTGTCTCTATTAAAAATACAAAAATTAGCTGGGCATGGTGGCACATGCCTGTAATCCCAGCTGCTCAGGAGGCTGAGGCAGGAAAATTGCTTGAACCAGGACCTGGGAGGCGGAGGTTGCAGTGAGCTGAGATTGCGCCGCTGCACTCCAGCCTGGGCTACAGAGCGAGACTGTTTCAAAAATAAAAATAAAAAATTAAATTCACAGGAAGATGCGAACACTGTGCACGAATGTCCTGCATACCTGTCTCTCAGTTCCCACAGTGGTTGGCTCACACATAAGGATAGTACACATTGACACTGGTCCACTGTATGGATCCAGTTCTGTGTCGTTTGATCACACATACAGTTTTGAGTATCTGCCACTACCCACGTGACACAGAACTAGTCTATCACCACAAAAGCTCATCTTGTGTTTCTCCTTCATAGTTTCTTCCCTCAAGCCTATCCCCGCCATCCCTAGACCCTGGCAAAGACCACTAGTCTATTTTCCTTTTCTATAATGTTGTCATGGAGAATGTTGTATAAATGGAGTTGTATAATGTGTGACCTCCTGAGACTGGTTTTGTATGAACAGCAGAATCCTCTTGAGATTGACACAAGCTCCTATCAATAGTTGGGTTTGTGTTGCTGAGTCGCATTTCACTGTAGGCACACACCTTTTGATGGACATTCTGGTTGCCTCCAGTTTTTGTCTATTACAAATAAAGCTACTGTGAGTATTTGTGCATAGGTTTTTGTGTGTATACACATTTTCACTCCTAAGTAATTCCCAGGAGTACAATTGCTGGGTTTAATGGTAAGTGTATGCTTAGTCTTAAAAGACACCAACACACCATTTTCCAAAGTGACTACCATTTACATTTCCACCAGCAATGTGTGCGAAGTGCAATTTCTCTGCATCCTTGCCAACATTTGCTATTGCTATTATACTTTCCCCCTGTTCTGATACATGTGTATTGTTAGACCATCAAGGCCTGAATTTGCACTTCCTTAGTGGCTAGTGACATAGAACATTACTGGAGAAAGGGCAGTGTTCTATCTTCTGACTTAGGTAGTGGTTAAACTGTGAATGTTTTGTATTTCACAGCAAAATAAGAAAAGTTGTGGCCAGGCATCATGGTTCATGCCTGTAATCCCAACACTTTGGGAGGCCGAGGTGGGCGGATCACTTGAGGTCAGGAGTTCAAGACCAGCCTGGCCAACAGAGTGAAACCCTGTCTACTAAAATACAAGAATTAGCCAGGCATGGTGGCGAATGTCTGTAATCCCAGCTACCTCGGAGGCTGAGGCAGGACAATCACTTGAACCTGGGAGATGAAGGTTGTGGTGAGCTGAGATTGCACTACTGCACTCCAGCCTGGGCTACAGGGCAAGACGCCATCTCAAAAAGAAAAAAAAAAAGAAGAGAAAATAAAAGAGCACTGAGATTAATCTTTTGAGATATTGTCTCCCTATATTCATTAAAAAAAATTAAGGTGTGGGGCGCTGAAGTCACCTGGCTAGTGGTAGAGGAGGCAGGCAGTGGACCCCCCTGTGAAGCCTGTGCTATTTTCTGCTGAACACCGCGCCTCTGTGTAAAACAGACTTTCATAAAGCAAACCTCCTTCCAAAGCAGTCTGACATGGAATTGTTCAAACACTAAAAAAAATAAAATTTATTACGCATATGCATTTGCATAGGTGTTTTGTGCGCTGCAAAGTAGAACATTCATGTCAGAGTACGTGGACTAGAAATGAGAAACTCACTGCACTTCCAGGTAGTTGGAAAGGGCTTTAAAGAAGGGAGAAATTTAAAAGCAATTTAAAAAACTCTTTAGATTGTAACTCAGAGGGACTAGGGATGGGATAGGAATTGTTAAGCACTTCTGTACTGTGTATTTAAAAAAGAAGTCTGCTGGGCACGGTGGCTCATGCTTACAATCCCAGCACTTTGGGAGACCGAGGCGGGTGGATCACCTGAGGTCAGGAGTTTGAGACTAGCCTGGCCAACATGGTGAAACCCCATCTCTATTAAAAATACAAAAATTAGCTGGTGGTGGTGGTGAGTGCCTGTAATCCCAGCTACTTGGGAGGCTGAAGCTCGACCCTGGGAGGTGGAGATTGCAGTGAGTCGAAGCCATACCACTGCACTCTAGCCTGGCAACAGAGCAAGACTCCATCTCAAAAAAAAAAGTCAGAAAAGACAGTGGAAATTTACATAGTATGTTTTGTGTTAGTTTCCTAGGGCTGCTGTCACAAAGACCCACAAACTGTATGGCTTGAACAACAGAAATGCATTGTCTCAGTTTTTGAGGCCAGATGTCTGAGATTAAGGACATTAGATTTCTATATTTTAGAAAGATGCTAATGCAAAAACAGCCTCTGGAGTCAACTTGCAGTCATCCAGAAATCCAGGCATTGGAAGTACTGTATTCCTTCCTCCCAGACGCTTGGGTCCTGGAGAGTGTGTTCCAGCCATTTCTGTTTCTGTACATGGCAACATTTTTTTTTCTCTCATCTTCCTCATTCACTGTTTTTGACCTAGATACTATTCATTGAATTAAACAGCACGTTTACAAGCATTTTACATGAGTTAACCCTTTTACCTCAAATAACACACTAAGCCTATGAAGTAGGAATGAATAGTATCCCCATCTTACATATGAGGAAACAAGGTCTTGGAGAAGCTGAGTAACTTGCCCTCACATTATGGGCTAATTAGCAGTGAGCTGAGCTGTAAACCCAGATTGTCTGTCCTAGAGTCTGTAACTAGGACAGTAGCAATTGTTATTATTAACTAATTTATTTTGATTTTTTAGACAGACTCTGTGTTGCCCAGGCTGGAGTGCAGTGGTGTAATCTCAGCTCACTGCAATCTCTGCCTCAAGCGCTTCTTGTGCCTCAGCCACCCGAGCAGCTGGGGTTACACATGTGTGCTGCCAGGCCTAGCTAATTTTTTTATTTTTAGTAGAGTTGTGGTTTTGTTATGTTGGCCAGGCTGGTTTTGAACTCCTGGCCTCAACTGATCTGTCCATCTTGGCCTCCCAGTGTTGGAATTATAGGTATGAGTCACCGAGCCTGACGTAATTATTATTTTTTAAAATGTAAGTTTTAAGTTGCAGTAGCAATTATAATAGGGTTTTACATAAATGTTAACAAAGTAGTTTCTACAGTTCCTTAGCATGTGGTAGATGAGATAGGAATGCTACGTATCTTTTTTTCCTCCTTATGTTTCTCTCTTTTTTTTTTTGACTTGTTATTTTCTTTTTTATTTTTTTGGGAGGAAGGGAGGAAGGCAGGAAGGGAGGGAAG